ATTAATAAAAAATGCGTGTGGCTCCTTTCCCCTTTTATCAAAACGGAGAGGGGTAGACAACGTCTTGTGCACGGTCACGTCAGCCCCCAGTTTGAGTAGCTGTGCAGTTAGTACGATGTGTTTGCTCTGGCCTTACTGTTTGCTTGTGTCATTTAGGTTGGAAAGTTGCTCAGGTGCTTCTTGTGAAACTTGTGTAGTGATCTCCTACTAGTTACTGTGCTTTGAGATAGACCTAAAAAAGAAAATTGGTGAAACCTTGGTCATTTTTTCTACAACCTTTCTCTTCAGAAACTGTTTTTTAATGTTTTTTTTTTGTCACGTGGGATCATAAAGAATACCTGGTAGGACTGTAAAACACTTCTAAAAGGATTTTTTTTTGCCTCGTACGTTTTACAAAATTCACCATGTGTGCTTAGATGGGAGTAAATACAATAGTTTCAGGCAGTTTTTCTCTGGTGATATAATTAAAGTGATTATTATTAGGAATAATTATTTTTCATGGAGAGCCTTCTTTATCAAGGATGTCCCTTGGAACGGCACTTCCCTCTGGCCCTTGTCAATGCCCCTGAAGAGTCAGAGGTTACGGAGATGCAAACAGATCACTTAAATAGCGGCTTTCCCCTTAAATAGAAAACCCCCAAACCCTCATGGTTAAAATTTCTAAAGTTTCTTTATTGATGGTGGAATAATGAATCAGATTAAAGGTTTCTGAAGTTGATACATACAATATGTATTTTTCCTGAAGTATATGTGAAGAAGCTGTTAGCCATCTTAAAGATGGAAACAGATAGTTGAAACTTAGTCACTCTCTCGTTACTTCTGTTGCTGGTTTGATGAAATTTAGCCTGGACTATGTTGATTGTATGCTCAGAATACATCTGCAGGTGCATACGCACATGTTACTACCCTAAAACATCCTCATGTTTTGTTCTTACTTCTGTGGAACCACACTGAAATAGCTGCAGTGCATTTCTTTTTTTCATTCATCTGGTGTAAGATTATTTTTGCTTTGCCTTACCTATAGCCTGTTACTCCAGCTACTGTTCAAAAGTTCCGAAATACAACAAATCCAGCTCCTGGTGTTGAAAGAATATTCTACGGCAGAGCAGATGATCCCGATACTGCAGCTCACTTGACACATGGCATAAAGTCACGTCCTTCACCCAGCGTAAGAATGGTTCTCGTTTATTTTTGTTTAAGAGTGGTCCGCTTAAGAACATAAGAGCAACTGGTTTCTTCAGAGTCAGGGGCAAAGGAACATAGCCGAGTGGTTCACACTGCAGCACTTCACTGCTGTTGTGGATTATCTGAATTCTGGTTTCAATTCATAGGATTTAGTTGTTATGACTGAAACAGGAAAACACTTCAAGTTCACTGACTTTTATCAGTGACTTAACTTTCGCAATGAGAAATGAATTATTCATTGAATTTCAACATTTAAGTTGATGAACAGTCTTCTACCTGCAAATTCTGCCGCTTTTATCTTTACTGATTACAGAGGTAAAACCTGTTGAACTCTTAGAAAAAGAACTGCTATTTGAGAATGTTTATAATTCAGTGTAATTATTATGTATTTTTTCTTACCTTTGAGTTGAAACTGATTTTGTTACCTAGAAAGTGATGTTTTGGATATGGCAGACTTTTGTGTGTGTTCTTCAGAAATTACTTCTGTAATCTAATCAAACAACTGAAGAGATAATTGGTGATTTTATCACATAATTACTGTTCAAATCTATAAAAATAACAGTTCTGTTACTAAAATAGACTTTTATTATGCATTTCATCTGCTGGGCTTGTAAATTAATAGTTCTCAATTTTAAAAATTAAGAAGTTGAGGCAAAGGAGAGTTCAGGTCTCAAAAATAAGTCTTCAGGTTGAATAAATCTTCAGGTAAATCCTGATATTACAAGGTGTTGAGTAGGATATTTGTTAGGCATACCCAAAATGAAAAACAGTCAGGTTCTTGGTGTCCCACCTCAGAATTTCTGTGTTGAATGGAATGATTTGTTTAGCTTGTACTGTCTGTTGAAAGTTGTTTCACTTTATATTATTAATTAAATATTATCTGGAGGAGGTGTTGGAATCTTAGTGAGTTCACTAAGCATCGGTTTGGATCAGTTGCATTTTTTTTTACTTTTTTCAGTATTTCTTTATTTAATGTTCAGTAAGCATCTAATAAGAAACCCTTTCTAGAGTCCCTGTTACTTTGATGGGTAGCCTGAAAAAACCAAATTACTTGGGAAGATGAAAATATATTTGATCAAAATACAAAAATACTTTTTGACGTTTTTAAAACTTTTTATTTTCCTTGGAGTTGACCTGAATTTATGAGTAACTTCTATTGACCCAATCCTAGCATATACACTGAGAAGAAATATTGTCCAACCTATTTCTAAATTTTGAAAACTCTGCTGAAGTAATTTCTGTTGATATGTCTTTTAGGATGCCATATTAGTGTCTATCTTGAAGTACTATCTTTAAATTCTGCATCGGCAGCTGTTTAGAGAATAGGTAGCCTTAACTGTTAGACAATAGATGTTTTTAATCATAAGCACCAGGAAACTTCATTCCAAAAATGTTATAAAGATAACATTTCCACACTTAAGTTTTGGTCATAATACGATTTGACTACAGTGTCTAGTTTGTGCTAAGAACAGAAAGTTCGCAGCCTGAAATTTTGTAAATTAACAAGTGGAAAAAACTCTCATAAAAATAAAAAGTTCCGCTTCACAATGTGTATTTTATTTAGCTGGAGATTTAGTGTAACATTGATTAATAGTGGTCTTCTCTCAAAATGCAATTTTGTTTGCAGCATGGTAGATAAAATTATGTCAGTGTACTCATATCAGATCTCACTAGAACACTACAATCAAACTTCTGTTCATGTGTGTGTGAGGCAGTAACTATTTTGATGTGTCAATGATTAAATTTTGCTGATTTTCCTGCTTCTTGTGTTGTTTGTGATGTCTTCAGGCAGCTTCACTGATAAATCCACTTCCTAAATCTAATTTTCAACAAAAAATACAAGACAAAAAAGAATCAATCTACTTGAGTAATCGCCAGGCACCCTTGGGCAAATCACACGATCAATCTTCTATGTTACCTAAGGATTTGGATATAATTAATACTACATTTGGAACAAAAGTCATCAAAGGTAGGAAAATCTGTTGTTAAAACGTATTTCTTCTAAATACAAGATAACGTGCCATTCAGCATTTAGCACATGTTCTCCCAGCAATTCCAACTTAATAGAGAAGTTACAGCAGTTGTCGGAAGGCATAAAAATGTACTAGTAATTATCAGTTACAATGAAGAAAACACTTGGTAACTAGTAGGGTTTTTGGCTCTATTCCAGATATGCCTTTGTAGATTTCCTTGGAGAACTGTTTAGATAGCTGACAACTTACTTTTTTTCCCCAACTATTCTAAATGTCCAGTAAAAGATATTACTTCGACCTGTAAGTCTTTCCTCCATAGACTGGAGCAAATCACTTACATGTTGAACACAGAGCTCTTTTGCAACAGTGATGTTCATCTCAGTTTCTGAGATTTTTTTTTTTTCCTACTTCATGTCATTAAGCTGTAAAATTCTTATAGATTGACTAGAAATGTGGTAAGTATCATTTGTCCCACAGTATTAGCATCTTTAACAAGATACTGTTTAAACTTAGGAAGCAACCAAACAAAACACCCAGCCCCCTTACCTCTCCCAATCATATGTTTATTCCTTACTTTCCAGATGTTCCAGCTGGAGAGCTTATAAATCCACCAAAAACTTTTGAGCAAGTTGATAAGGAAGCCAGAGAAGGACATGGTCTGTACGTTGTGTCACACTATGATTATTATGTGGGTAAGTTCAAAGGCTGATAAGAAACCACGTAAGAAGTTCTAATATAAATAAAAGTAATTGTTCTGCTTTGTAAACACATGCACTGCTTTTATGAGATGTGAACTCTTACTTTTAACAAATGTATTAATATATATAAAAAATGTATTAATATATATAAATTCTTTTTAAAAGTAATGATGTGAATAAAATACATGTAGCTGAGAGAGCATGACTTGTTTCTAGAACTGTAGATCACTTTGTGGTGGGTGTATTAGTATAAGAACATAACAAAAGAGTTGGAAGACTGGTTTATTTTGGGAGCTAATTGAAAAGCAAAGCATTTCCAGGAAACCAGAGACTCATAGATGCTGTGGTTGCTTTTTGAGTTTGTCAATGTCTTTGCGCCACTAAGAGCAATTTCAGCCTTAAAGGCACAGACTCTGAGCCCAACTCATTCCAGTATTTTCGCCTCTGGTTCGTCTCCTTTATCAGGATCCAAGGAGAATTTTGGGGCAGCTGGACTGTCAGTGTGGTGCTCTGGTTACAAGGAATTTCAAGCCACTGGCTGGCTCTGGAATGCAGGTTCCTCAGCTGACAATATCCTGCCTGTGTGCCTGTCCCATAGCCTCTGTCTCTGGGCCTCCACTGCTTCAGCTTCTGGGGCCTGTATTTGTGTGAGGTGGTCTCCTCTGGGATGGTTACCCTTGATCTCATAAAGTCTGCACAGGAGCAGTGTGACAAATAGCACTCTGAAATGCAGTGCATGTATTACTTTTGCAGCCACTTCTGTTTTTCTCAGTTCCGTCATTTCCACTTAAGGTGAGAGACTTATATTGCTGCTCTACAAGATGAGCATTATAGTAAAATTGCTTGTTGTGCTAGTACCAACAGTTTTGTAGACCAAGCATGTAAGAAACTGCAATACAGATATTTCAGTTGAAATAATGTAAATTTTATATGGAGGCAGGTACATAGAAGTGAAATTATAGTAGTGTTCTCTCACTGAGAAATACTACTATAAGTGCTATTGGTGTAAATTGGCCAAACTTGTAATCTAATTTCCCCTCTTCCCCACCTTTCATAGGTGTTTTTGTGGAATTATTCATTATCCGTTTCTGGCTTCTTTGTAACTTCTGTTCACAAGATCATGGAGGGGCCAAGCCAAAAACAGCAAAAAAAAGTCAGCTGTGTCCCTCAGTCTTAAACAATAACCTAAACATTCCACGGTTCCACAGAGCCAGAGTAAGCCCTTATTAGAAAGCATGCAGTGAGTAATATTTTTGAAAGTTCTAATTCCCATTCTTTTCAAAAGGTGGTTGTAGAGAGATTGAAGAAACAGAATGATGGTTTTTGTATGTGACAAGATATGTGCTTGTGACTCACGTAGAGCACCAGTGTGATAATCTTGTATGTTGAAGCTTCATTGTGTAGGCAAGACTGGCTAATTAGATTCATGAACCGTGGGGTAATATATTTGCAGTGAAGTCAGTGGCAACATTTCCAATGATGTCAGTATATCCAGAATATATCTGAAAGTGCAGCACCTCAGAACCGTTTTTTCCTTTTAGCTTTTTTTCATTAACAAATAGCAGATTAAATGGTACATGTCTCAGAACAGACATTATAAAGTGATATGTTTGCCTGACCCTCACTACTTTGGCTACCTGGTATTTTTCCATTAATTCTGTTGGGCTTTAGTCAGACATATATTGAAATCCAACTACTTTTACACTGAAGCAGTTTTTGCTTTGTATTTTACCTTTTATCTTCACTTTTGACAATGAGTTTATTCCTAACTACTTAATAAACATGAGAAATGCAAATTGAACAGAAATGTTTAATTAGTTATTTGCTTTCATTTCTTCATTGTTTCATCTTAAGAATGAAGATACTAAATTTGTCTTCCTGAAGTGTTTTGTACAGATTGAAATGCTTACTTTTTCCACAGGGGAAGCAATAAATAGGAAGTATGATTCACCAAACTTCAGCAAGTCTTTTGTTTATGGAAAAAAAACCCCGCACTTTAAAGATGGGCGATATGTATCCAAATCCTTAAATTGGCCTTATGACCCTCAGTCGTAAGTAGCAGTGAGTTAACTAATGTAGTGGTATGAGTTCTCAGGAAGAGTGACTCTTCATATTTGGATATAATTTTACATCTCACAATCCCATCCTTAGCTCTATTGAACTGAAAAGTAAATGCAAGGAGTAATTTTCAGAGTAGTTCATCCAAATCAGTTCTGCCGTAGTATAACAGGACTTGGCATGTCTTCAGCATTACATAAAGACACCTTTGATTTTAAATAGCAAGATTTTTCAGTTATTAAATTTTTCTTGCAGAGGAATTACTGATTTCTTCTAAGACATAATAATATTAAATATTATTGAAAAATTGGTGAATATGGTTAAGCAAATAGGTATGAGAGTTATTTTCATAGTATGTAGGAAGAGAGCAGCGAAAAATTCTATTAAAAAAAATTATAATTTTGAGGAAACATTTGAACCTCAGCTTGGAAAAATCCTTGATCCATAAGTAAGCAATGACATCTTCCAAGAACAAAGTTCACTTACATTTGCCAAGTCTCCAATATCTTTTTCTGTCTTGGGTAAAAATTCTAGCTATGCACTCGATGCTTCCACTGCAGCACTTAGTTACAGAAAGAAACTTTCTACTTACTCTAATTCCGTTGATAAGTACGCAGGTTACTAATGAGGGCTGTATTGTGTCTATGTAGCAAAGTCTTACTGTTTAAATGGTCCATATCTGAATTCATCAAATTTGCGCCAAGCAAATTGAAAGCACACTGTAACATTTAAATTTGTTTTAAACTTTTTTCTTTTCCCTGCCTTTTGCAGTTAAGAAGGTTTGAAAGAACTGAAATGTCTTAACTATTGTTTGGGGATTTGACCATTTTACTTATTCTGACACTACTTTTAGTCATCTTTGTTTCATCACCTGTGTTCTCACTTTATTACTTCTTTGTAAAAGGATATGGAACTAAATGTGCTATTATCTAGCAGCATGTATCAATCTCAGTTGAATCATTCCCATGCTTCATAAACCTCAGGTGATCTGGAACACCTTTTTAATTTTACAAAACAGAGCTTATGATGAGCTACAGTAGTTCTGAGTGTGGTGAGGATCCAGCTGTGCTACAAATCTAGAGTTCCTGAGTGTGTGCAACGACTGTCTTGGCAGATGATGTAGATTTCTGCAAAACTGTATCTGACTAACAACATTATTGCCTTTAGTGGCAAAATTTAACAGGCTTAAGTGCTCAAACCCATCACTAGTATTACAAGATAGATACAAGCTAACCTAATTTTATTTAGTGAATTTTACATCATCCACATCTTATGTGTAATATGAAAATGATAAGAAGAAAATACACTTAGCAGGTTTTAGATGAGAGTGCTTCCATCTCTGTGTGGGTCCTTTGTTTTGTATTTTAGAACAAAGCACCGTTTCTCTTTTCAATTTTGATGATTTCTGATTCATGTAACAATTTTAATAATTAAACATAGAGATAAAATGAACATTGCATCTTTTTCAAATTAAGAAATAAACAGTTCTTTAATATCACCAAAATGTCACCAAAATGTTAATTTTCTAGTAAGTAAAACCAGGCCAAGTTTTCTAGATTAGTATTGGCTTGGTTGCTGGTTTTGGTAGATGCAAAATTGCATGTGAAAAAGCAGAGATGTGATTAAATTTTCCACTTTAGCCAAAAGTAGTTTAATGGATTCAGCTAGAGGATCTGGTTTATCCTAAACATTCCTATTGTTTAACTAGTATGTTATAAGGATTTTTCTCAGTCGTTTCTGTCGCTGTCTCAGGAAAAAAATATTTTAGCGTAGAATGTTTTTCTTTTAAATAAGTGTTCAAAAAGTTAATGTTTACATTTGTTTGTGTTATGTTACAAACAGCAAATGTTCTAAACAGATGGGATGCTTTTCTTGAATGGCAACTTTGAGCAAAGTACTGATAAACAAATTTCAGGTGAACTAGTGTATCATCCCTAATTATATAACATATAACAATTTTTATTTTTTTAATAATAGCACAAGAATTATTTTGGCTATCAGTAAACTATTTGACAGTTAACAAAGAAATGTGCTTATTTGACAGTGTAGCAGAAACTCGGAATGTTTCCCTAGACTGTACATTTGGAACGGTAGTCCGTCGAGATGGATATGGTAAGTTCAGGGGCAGAATAAAATCTTACTGTGTTCATGAAACTGTGCTGAAGTAATTATTGTTGATTGTGCAGTATATAATTTTCCTAAATCTTAGAGATGAGATGCAAAAATTTATCAGTAACAGAAAAGTTTTGGAGGCAAAATCTGAGAAGTATTGAAATTGCTAGTGGGGAAATAAAAAAGGATATCAGAAATAAAGAAACTTCAGGTTTTGCATGATTGTGTTGAGTTTCTTTGGGGTATTTTTTTTTAAGCCTCTGCATCTGAATATAGACAAAATGTGAAACGGCAGAAAACTCATATTGACATCAAAGTGACAAATTTTCGATGGCTATTTGAAATCAATTATGTGTTTTTCCATCACTTTTCTCTCAGTGATTTTTTCATCACTTCTGTAAGTGTAGAAATCCCAAGAAGACTAATAAGGTTTTGAAGGTAGCAGGGAGACAGAAAAAAATGAAAATAAAAAATTGCTAGTTTTCATTATGACAAAATTTTGAAAGCTAATTAACTCAAACAGTGGTGTTTTAACATTATGTTTAGTAGCTATAGAATACAGTGAATACTTGAGCAGCAAAATGTGTAACTGGCCCAAAGTTATTTAATTAGTCAAGACCAGAGAAAGCTTTTTCTAATTCTGCATAAACTTTTATACATGCTTTGCTATGTAGTGTAATGAGGTTATTTTTTAAAATGTGTAGGTATGCTTGTTCTATAAGGAATAGCAGAAAGAACTAAATAAAAAAAAAATTAATTATTTTCCTGGTTTGAGCTAAACAGCTCTAACCCTTGACAATTATTAACGAGTAGAAAACAGTGCATGTTCATTGCTGTTAGAAGGGGTTTAGGTGAGTTACTTCTATTTGTTACTGTACTCTGAATGCATTACGTGCACTCTAGGAGATGACCTTGATGTCCTGAGGACTTAGACAAAGACTGTGTCTCAGTGTGCAAAAGTATTTAAAAATACTAATAAAGTTAGGGTATGGATAAAATGAGAAGAGTAACACAAAAAGAGTACATTGCTGTTCAAAAAATCAATGACATATAATGATCTGAAATATTGCATTGACTTTCCCGTTGTTTTTTATAAGATATCCTGAAATATAACAGACTGGAAGTGATGGATTAATAATGTATGTTCTTCTCAACTATGTGGACATTGAGTAACTCTTAGCTGTCAGAAGCTTTTGGAAGCAGTGGAGAGATTTGTGAATCTACGCTAAGAAGTTTAAAATTTTTTATATTAACTGCATGTGCGTAGAGAAATCATCATATGGACCATTTGGTCTTTTAACAAAATTGCCATATTAGATGCACAGTAGTGCTGAAAATCAGCACCTTGATACTGAAATTCTCCTTTTCCTTAAGACTGTAACGCATTTTTTAAAAAGTCTGTTTTCTGTATATGCACAATTAATTGAGGAAGTGTTTATTTTTATAGGAGTTGGTGATCTTCTTTGCTGCCGGCTTCCATGTGCATTCCTCCATGGTAAAGATAGAGAAAGAACTGTCTTGACTGCGGTTCGGCAAAGTTTGAAGAAAGATAACTATGAGAATTTTGACATGTTACTAGAAGCATTCAGGCATTATGATAAGGTTAGTGCTTTGAAAAAATAGAAGTGTAAGGGAATATGTGACATTAGGGCTGTTGTGCTGTAGAGATAGAGACATGAAGAAACGTAAGCATAGCGAGATAAATATTGATGAATGCTATAAAGGCAGGTAACTTCATAATTGTTTGTTTAATCTACTGTGATATGCTGTGGAATTAAACACGACAGTATTTGGAGCCTTTTGCAACAATATTTGGAATATCCAAGTTAACAGCAAGCAGGGGACGTGAGCACGAATAATCTTAGCATTTTCTGCTCTTAAGAATTTGATATTTCTTCTTTAAAAGAGCAGTTGAAGGGAATATGTTCATATTTTTATCCAAGCTGTACTTTTGCACTGAGGCACCAAGCATCAGAATTTCAGATCTTTTCCTCTTTTTTGGAAAAAAATGTCTAACTGACATTTAAATATATATACATTACTTATAATGTATGGAATGATCAATGCCTTACTTTCAAAAGAAAGCTTGGTATTGCCTGAACATCTATGATTAGATTATTATCTTGTCAAAATACTCTGTCACACTCTTTACTGCATTATTTAGGTTGAAAATTATTTATTGACACTTTAATGTTCATATTTTCAATTTCTAAATTATTCAGGGTTTCTTTATGTACTGAGCAATGTTACTCTTCCAAACTGGTGTGCCTCATGCTATATATATATATATATATATATTTATGTGTGTATGTGTATACACGTATGTGTATGTGTTTGTTTTGATGGAGCCCTTTAATAACAGCTGTTACAACAACTGTTCTATTTTATTTATAATAGAATGGTGATGGAATGATAGACAAGGACAACCTACGAAGGGCCAGTTTTCAGCTTAATCTGAATCTAGATGATGAGCTCCTAGATTCCTTATTTGACTGTTGTGATTTGGATAAAGATGGTCTGATTAATTATCTGGACTTTGTAAACTTTCTCAACTGGAAAGACAAAATGGCTGTTAAAGAGTTTGAAGAAAAAATAATTACAAAAGGTAGGTGATTTAATAAGGGAGAATTGTGGAGATGATCCTGTTCTTAGAACAGCTATTGAAAGGCCATTCCTGTTTTAGGCCAGGTGCTCCTTTAGGAAGAGTCAGATTCAGAGAGTGCATTTAGTCCTTGCCTACCACCAGCAGAGCTTCAGGTATAAATGTATTTCAGAATCCTGAAGTTCTGTGTTGCTTGTTGAGAATGTCCCACAAATCAGGAGAAATTAAAAAATCTCTTAGAAACATTATCAAAAATGCAGATTGTAACCTTTTTTATAATTTTTCAAGGAATCAAACAATGGTTTTTACCCCTGAGTCAATAACATGCTGATAATAAACCCTGGCTGTACTGCAATTTTTGTTTACAGGGAAAAAACCAGATGCGTCTGTTCTACTTCAAGACAAAAACATAAGCGATGAGCCACTGCTGAAGCAGGAAGATCTTGTGTTAAAACAACTGGCAAGCTCAGAGAAGACGCCAAAAATGCTTGCAAGATCAACGGATCCTGTATTTGCAAGTTATCAGACAACTTCTTCTCAGTATAATGCTGTCGTAGGTGGTCTCCCAACAACCTGTAAGTACAGTGGACTTCTCACTCCTGAGTATTATGTAAGACAAAATCAGGAACAAGTTTACAAAGTACTGCTATGGATTCTACTAAAGTACAGCAGTGAATTAAGTTATCTAAACTAAATTTGTTTAAGGTTGTGGCTTGGAAGTTGACATGGCTTGGATTTTTGGCACAGTTAAACCATTAAGAAGATAAAATTTAATCTAGATGTCTTTGAGAAATTATGCCAGTAATTTTAGGAGAATGATATCTTCTTGGAATCACCTAAAATTGTTTTCAACTGGAAGTACTGGATGAGTACTAGAATATTACTACAAGATTTCCTGTTGTCATGCTTCATTAAGTAGATGAAGCTAGGAATTCTAAAAAAAATTTAAAAAGTTGAGGATGAAAGTGATATAACTTGTTATTGGACCTATGTGAGATGAAATGTCACATTTGTTCTTATTTCATTCAAAATGTTTTTTCCTCCCTGGCACTATCTTTACAAACAGGGTTTCCTGTGCTAAGTGTTGATTGATTTCCACAGGTTATCCAGTGTGTGGTGTTCCATCTATTCGTTCAGATATTCCTGCTCCTCAAATTCACCGCATCAGTGACAGAACTAATTATGGTGATCAGGCCAGTGCTTATGCATTATTGTTCCCTTCTGTCTTCAGTGAAAAAGGAGTGTATGAAAGAGATTTTTTAAAGAGAAGGCCAAAGGCAGAGGTATAGTGCATTTCTTCAGAATATTTTTCCAAGACAAATGTATCTCTAGCCGTGTGGGAATGAAAAGTCATACTATCAAAATAAACGGGTCGTAAAATTCATTGTTGCAACATGACCATCTTTTTTATGTCCATTCAGCTATCTGAAAAATGTGTTCACATTCGAAACTATTCATAAAGATCGTAGATATGAATTTTATTGAGATCCAACTTCACTAAGTTATATAATGAAGTACATCAGGTTTTTGCAACTCATGCTTAAATGCTCCATGGAACAGGGGTTGGTAATTAATTTAGGGCTTAAGAGTGTATGACTCATCATTTTTGCAATGTGAAAAGAACAAAGCGGTAGTGAAATTTCCATCCGTGCACATAATCAAATTTCTGAGCAAGGTCCCAAGCAACAGGGTTTAATGGTAGAGTTAGCCCTGCTTTGAGTATGGGATTGGACTGATGATCTCCAGACATCTCCTCCCACCTACATTATTCTGTGATTCTATGAGTAGATATCTTAAAAAGCCCCATAAGAAGATTTTTACAGGTGTGTAAAACTAGTTTCTATCACAGAGGGATATTCAGTGGAAAATTTTATCCAAGCCGACTCTCTTCAAACAAACTTGCAGGTTTTACTAATGGTAAATTCAGCAAACTGCTTGAATATAACTTTTAAGTGCTCTGCTGAGTCATGGTTGTAGGCTCAGATCTGCAAAGAACTTATGCAGTGGTAGAGGACATAGGGAGTCACACACCACATTTCTGAAGAGAGGATATGAGACGCTAGGACTTAGCTGAGGACGCTGTGATTGGGGACTGCTACTGCTCTGTTATCCCGTAGCCCAGAGTTCTTCCCACAGAAATACAAAAACAGCTTTGCTTCTTCAATATTGTTTGCTCTTTTCCTTGAACATCTGTATGCATTTTCTAGTGAAAAAATATTAGGAGATGACTTCATTACCTGAAATACAATTTATGAGACAATTGTAACAAAGTGTGAAATTCCAATCTAGAATGAAAAAAGATGCCTTGACAACCTCTCCCTCTCTACTAGTCATATTAAATATTCATTAACTTTGAAAGTGGATCTGGAACTTGCATATATATTTTACAGAAAAGAATGTTGCTGGAAATGTAAAAAGTGTGGTCCATATCCATAAAACAGCTTGTCAGATTGTTGTGTACATGAGCATTTACCATTTTATAATCTAGCACTGAAGCAGGAAATCCGTGCATGCAGAATATAGCTAACAGTAAATAGAATTCATGCTTCATTGAGAAGCCCATTATACCTGTCAAGCACTAAAGAGAACTCTTCTCTGAAGTTATAATGTGGCCTAAGATGTCATACTCCCTTGTAGGCTATGCACGCTGTGCAGAATTCAGTACAGAACCACCTCTGAGTGTGTTAAATCACCCTACACTCACAAAATGACACTGTTTCAGTATTTAGTGATGGTCTTTATTTTGACATGGAGTATTAATAATTTCAAACCTGTAATAGCCAATTAAATTATTATAGGGAACCCAGAGTCGTTTAATGCTACCAGTTTTTGTATCGGCCTGTAGAAATGAAGGCAAATTCTGACTATAAAGCAGTTGCATGAGGTGACTCTTCATGTTACCAAGGAACGAAATAGTTGTAGGGCCTGTTGTTTTCTTCACTGGAATTCATCATAGTCTACGGAAGGGTCTAGAAGTTATGTAACTGAGTAATAGTGTGGAATTTGTATTAAACATGATCATACTGATAAGGTAAGGGTCAGTTTAACCCTGTCTGCACACTTGTTAGTCTGTGGTTTAGTTTGTGGTCGTTTTGTGGCTCTTGATCCAGGACAGGGTCGTATTGTAATACGGAGAAGTCAGGTTATGAGATCATGTAGTCCTCATCCAGGATACAGTGGTATCCTGTAACAGAATATTGCTTTTAGTTTAACTTGTAAATTTCACTAGCTTGTTGAAGACATTAAATCAAATCTGGTTTATTTTCCTCAGGAGTAATGTTACTGATTCAACTGAAACAACAGCTATACTTAAAGAAACACATTTTAGAACATGTTTTCCTCCTGTAGTTTTAGCTGGCATAACCTGTCATAGATTTATTGGTTAAGATGAAGCTGTAGATCAGGCCTATATTTGTACAAAAGACAGTTTTAGAGGAAGATGGCAAACAAGGTTAATTTGACTTTGTATAAAGGTCTTACTTTATCAAAGCATGCATAAAATCTCCAGAGCATAAATATAACACACATGCACACACGTGATACAAGTGAAGAAGCCAAACGTTTGCTAATACTAAGAAAAGCACAAATCATGTCAATATTCTTCTAAAGGCACCTTGCTCTAATAAGTCAGCAGGTCAATGTAATGAGGCATGAAGCAGGAAGCAACCAAGTGAGAAAATATGGGAAAAAAATTTCTGCTGAATTACTCTGGTGTAAAACTATAGCAAGACCTGAAGTTCATTTTAGTCACTTCACCCACTCATCTATACCAACTGAAGATCTTCCATATTCTTTCTGTGAAATGCAGACAATAATACAATCTGATTTATGTTGATAACTGCAGACAGTAAAAATAAAATGGATAAACAGGAGCTTTCTTGCAGCTTTTAAAAAATCTTTACTTTTTCCTGAATATTCCATGTTTGATTTTTCCAATGTCGAAGCTGCATCAACATTATCAACTAAAGACAATTTTGTATACCACAGCTTTAATTCCAGTAAGATTCAGATTTACTGAAGCAGGAACTTCTTTGGTTAAGGATGCAGGATACAGCCTGTAGATTTTATTTAAAAGTGGGAGAGTGTTCTTTGGCAAGCAGAGATTGCTAATATATGTAACACCCAGATTATGTATAGTTTGAAGAAAACGCTGACCTGAATTACATCAATTGTGTTATTTTGTAGATTGCACAAATTCTTCACAATATTGGTGTGGACATTTCAGACGAAAGGTTTGAAGAGATATGGAAGCAAGCCTGTATGAAACATCAGAAGGAGGAGGTTTGTGTAGCCAGCATCAGGAATGTAATGGATGAGATACATGGATCACACACAAAACCCAGATGCTAAATCTGATCTTTGGGCATTGAGCTTAATTTGACATTCGTTATAATTCTGATGATGAATTCAATAGACACTTTCAATAAAAGAGTGTTTACAGAACTGGAATTCACTGTTTATTGTCTTTCTTGCAGTTAGTAGGAACTGATGTCCATAGGAATAAACGAGGATATGGCATGTTTGTAGGTGCAGTGCAAATGTTCATCTTACATTCTTTATCATTTTTACAGTGTTTCTAAGTCTAAATAAAAATACTTTGTGCATGTTTTCCATTTTTTAATTTGTTTTTTTTTCCCGTTATAAATGGAAGGACACATCTGAAAGTATTTAACATAAATGATTCAGATATGCAAAACCTCTTAAAGATTATTATCATAGAATGACATCTTGCCTTGCTTCTACCATTCCATAATTTCTTGTTAGCAAAGTGGTAGCTAAAAGAGATATGGTTATGCTAAGTTATTTGACATGTCTAAAAATTTTTGTGAGAAAGTGCTCTACAAGTAAGATACTAGGGAAACTACATAGTCATGGGTGTGGGATCTTAAAGTGTTGTCATGAAATAGATGCCCTAAGAACCAATGTATTAAGAAATGCATATTAAATGCCCAATTGTGTGGCAGAGGGCTCATATTCTTTATGTGAGCTTATGACTATTAGGTAGTTGTATTCAGCTTTCACAAACAAGAAAAAGGAATGGATATTTAGAGGTGCATGTGCACATTACATAAAAACACAGGCTAGGTAGTCAGGAAAGTTTGGGAAGGCTTACAGAGAACTAACTGCTCAGCTGTGACCAAGGCAATTGCTTGGGATCTTCATAAATGAAAAACACTTGAGAATCATTATTGAAATGTCACTGAGTATAAATAAAGTCCAGTAAAAATAAATAAAGGAAGGCAAGTAATAATAAAATCTTCAGCTGCTAATTGGAATGTTCTCTTCACCTGTAGTACTGAGCTTGGTATGAAACAAGTGGACATTGTTCAGTATTGACAATGAGAATGATTACTATAAGACTTTTTAAAATTAATTAGAAAAATCTTTGTCCAATGTAATCTTAACATACAGGATTTCAGGAAAAATATAACTTTGCCACCTATTGATGCTTTAAATACCTTAGTAAGATTTGGAGAATGTTGCCAATCAAAAGTTTTACTGAGTTGTACAATACAAGTAAAGGTTCTATATATATTAAATATTGGGAATGCATGTGTAATGCCAGCTTGACATTTCATTGTCATGCTTTACTGACGTGATTGTTAAGATTTTTCTTTTGGTAGTGTTCTAAGAGCTTGTAATTTACTAGCTTGTTAGGTGAGATCCACAAGCATTAATAGTAGCTGGTTTACATCAAATAGAAAAGATTTGCTTTCTAGTATCTCCAGGGAGCAGGTGGTGGAAATACTGCTTGATGAAGTCAGCTTCTTTCCTGCTGTAAAAGTTGTTAATGTGCTGCTCTTGCCTTGCCTTACCATCCTTCTGTAACTGTGTGTGTGCACTGGAAAGCATGCAGGAAGCAGACTGTGACTGTGCCAAGTGAAATCATGACAGAAAGATGAATACACTGTTGATTTCAATTGAATTTATTATGTCAGGATTTCACTATCTCCAATGAAAACCTCTAAATCTTCTCTTCTGCTCATACAAGGTGGTAGGGAAGAACATTTGTTGCAGTGCAATTTCAAAAGCATTGAACAGAATTACTTAAAAATACTGGCTTTCTCATTCAATAGAAAATTTTAGATGAAAGATTTGAGCTTCAGGAAAAATAAATAATTTCAAGAGGGGTGTGTGTGTGTGTGTGTACAAGGTCTGTTGTGTTCAGAAGCTGGAATTTCTGTGTACCATATTTTTTGAATCTACTGTAAAGTGACCACTTCCATTCCTCTCAGTAGAATCTTTTCCTTTGTCAGTGAAACAGAATTAGTGTTGTTCTTGGGCAGTCTGCTAAATAAGTCCCGAATAAAGAAGGCTGATAAATTGTAGTTTAGTTTTTTTTGCTAGCATGTTTCTCAGCACAGTCTAAAGATTTGCTTTTGAGCTTGGGTTTGAAATGAACTAGAAGTGGTGTTCACCTAAACTTAGCTCTTATGAAGCTTTAAAGGATTAATCACTGAACAGAACTGTAAATTCTACTTGTAGGTGCCTGTTTTTCATCACAATATATGTAGGAGGCCCCTAAAAGATGTAATTCCTCTGACACAGACAGCTACTTCAGTGGAGTTTCCCAATCCTTTTGTTTCCTTTTGTTAAATGGTTTATGCATATGGAGTCTTTCTGCAGATTTTTGTATTTAATTTCTGTTTGACTTCCCAACATGTGAAATCAATGATGTATTTAGAGGCTTTAGAGCTGCAAGTTGTGTTATGTGATTTTTATTGTTCCCATAATATATTCCAATTGACAAAAAATAAAAGCTTTCTTTCTTTTATATTGTAGCGTGACTGCATTTATCTAGATACAGAGTTGATCTGGCAGTGCTAGGTTAATAGTTGGACTCGGTGAACTGAAAGGTCTTTTCCAACCTAAATGATTCTATGATTCAGTACCTGAAAACGGTTACCTGTAAGAGATATGGCTGAAGATTTGAATGTGCAGAATTATTTGTTATTTGAGGGGGCCGGTTAGCTCAGTCAGTTGAGCATGGCACTAACAACGCTAAGGTCGCGGGTTCGATTCCTGGTTGGTCCCCATGTGTTGCCTGATCTAGTTGAGATGTGGCGTCCCTGGCGGCAGGGAGGCTGGATTAAAATGATCTCTGAGGTCCCTTCCAGCTTAGGCCATTCTATGATTCTATGATTCTATGTTTCTGGCTCTTAATCTTTGAATGTGAATATTAGCACAGATAAGTGTATGGCTAACCTGACTTACTTGGAAGTGACTTGTGCTATGTAAAGCAGATGTTGGACTTGATTATTTTTTTCACTGTTGTCTAATGGAAAAATTCATCTGTACAGTGACTTGTATTAGATGCTGGAAGCTCCAGCCCATTGTCTTCCATAGAAGATTTGAACAATTATCCATGATTATACCAATAAATTTAGACTTTGCCTTAATTTTATTAGTATGTAACTTTAATGTATGTCTTTAAAAGATTAAGTAAGTTTTTTTTTCAGTAAATTAAGAATTGCTGGTTTTCAGTGATTTACCTGACTCAAGCAAATTTCCTAGTCCTGGAACTCATTCTTAGAATTGAATGGCTAGTTTTGTTTTGTTGGTTGTTTTAATTTTTAAACAACTGTATGTAATTATTTAGGTGCTAAATAGAATGCTAATAATCCTTTATGCTAAGAAGAACACTTCAAGTGGATGTCTAAGTAGAAACGGCGGTACTGGGGCAAAGTGCCCAGAAATCCAATTTAAGTCTTCATCGTGCCAACTGGTACGAATAGGTAGGATGGTTTTGGAATGGCTTATACAGCCTAATTAGTTGGTGTTTGCCATTAGAAGATATTTCTTTGGAAACTAGCTCTTTGCATTTGACAGTCTATCACTGGGCACCATCTGCCTGTATGGTTTGACCTTGCTGAAAGACCAAAATGTTTTTACAGAAGATGGGTAGGAGTTTATGCATGCCAAAGAACCACCCAATGCTGTATGGTTGAGTAGTTGGTATAGGATTTATATTTCTTTATTACTCTAAAACTATATTAATTCTGAAAATGCCAGCATAAGTTATACAAACCTGTAAGAAATATGTTGGCATCTTTCATCAGGATTAATCTGCAAAGGGAGAGGTAATTAAAACGGTTGTCACTATGTTCTGACATGCTAAGATAAGTGCTTATTGGTTTCTGCCAAATACGTGTGGCCTCTGAGCAGTGCATCCTGAGTCCACACTTGTGACTTCTAAATGTCATATCCATTGAAAATATATATTCCTCGGGACACAAGTATGTGCAGCTCTGTTCTGAAAGTAGGAAATCAGGTAGTAAATTCCATAATGTTGTCAAAGCTCACTCCTCATTCCAGTGCCTAGATGTACAGGAAAGTGGCAAAACTGAGGCCTCATCTGAAAAAAAAAAGAGAAGATCCTGGGTATCACTGTCAGATTTTATTCATATGGCTCTTGCATTCTGCATCTTAAAAAAAAGAAATAATCTTGTGTGTGGTGTATGCTTACTAGATAAGGTTCTACCACACAATCAGGTCAAAAGCAGACAGAGCAGCTTAAGAACTCATACTTCTAGAAATAGCTTTTTTTTTTAAGTTTTGAAGTTTTCTGCAGCTTCTAGAAAATGTCAAGTATTTATTTCCTTGAATCTGAGGTATAACAAAGGACTGAAATAAAACCACAAGGGTTTTAAAATAGTACCAGTTAATCATAGGTTGATTTTGTTTTCTCAGCAGATTTCAGCAGATTATAGAGACAAAGGCAATCCCACATTACTAAGTGTGTCCCCCTCAGTAAGCGACAAGGCTGAATGCATAACAAAATGTAGGGCTGTTTTTTGCTAGCGAGCAATGAATATAGCCTAAGAATGTACAGGGTATCTGTACAGGGCAGCCCAAAGGTTCTGTGTAGCCCAGTGTCCCATCAGACAGTGGTCAAAAACCTTAGGGAGAAGTAGCAGATCAGAGCTGGCCTTAGGATGTTTCTCCTCAGCAGTCTCCCAGTACTTCAACCACTTGAACTTCAGGTGACTGAGAGGAAGGAAGGACCTTTCTGCAAAGCATTTATTTTCCTTATATTCACTCATCTTAAACAGGTTTCTTTTCATGAACTTACCCACTTTGCCCTTGAAACTTTGTGATACTCTAGCCTGTGCAACATCTTTTGGCAAGGAGTGCCGTAGCTTTAGCCATACACTGAACAGAAAAACTAGCTCCTTTGCTTGTTTTAAACCATGTGATGTAATATAATTACTTCCTTTGAAGAAACAACAAACAAATCAACTTTTAGATACTGTCAGTGACACAGATATTTACGTACCTTTGTCATATCCCTTCTAAGTCCTTGCCAGGGACTGCTTGCCTGGCTATTGCCTGTAGAGACATTATTCCAA